CTTGTACACTGAAGTGGGGAAAACTCAATTTTTATCATTGTTAATCATTTGTATGTAAATGTGAGCATGGGATTAGTAGATAATAATGTACATATTATATTAATCATATAAAATGCTTGGAAAAATGCATCATCTTTGCATAAAAAACTAGCCTTTTCTGAAAAATGATGTAATTTCATGTAGTAACCCATAATGCAACTCATTGAGCTGATTGGTTGATTTGTCAGTCACGTTGGTTTCTCACTTAACATGTCAATTTATTCTGACCTCACAGAAAATAGTTTTCTCGACCTGTTAAATCTTAACCGAAGTTCACTCTTTATATATATTTACTACAGGGGTCTGTCAAGTCTGTCAATTAGACACCCAATTTAATGTTAAAAATAGTTTAGGCTGATATGTACGGAAGCCCGTTGGTGCCACGTACGAAAAATATTTTATCTGGCGGCCGCCACATATATATCTGGCGGCTGCCACATAAATTATTTTGCAAAAGGTGAGTGTTATTGGGTTAAGAAGATGGATGTTGACAAGCAGCCGCTGCTTATTGATAAAAAAGTTATTGATAAAAAACGAATTCTGAAATATTGGAACACCATTCTTAGAAATCCAAAATGCAGAACTTTATTTAATTCTCAACCAATCATAGCTTACAGCAAACACAAGAATATAGGTGATGAGATAACACGGTCTCACCTAAAACTCTGTGACCCCTGATGAGGCTTCTTAATAACCAAAACACTCTACAAATACTTGCATAATTCAAATCAAATATTAATCTGCTCTATGCAAAAACATATCTACTAGAAGTGTTGACTGGAGTGTTGGTTCATAATAAATCTCTTACAAGTTTGGTTGATTGATGTCGCTATTATAATTTTTACACTGTATCCACCTCTGAAATCACACGTTAAAACATGCGCGCGCATCAGGAAGCCAGGTGTTATCTGGAGGATGCCATATAAATTATGTGATGACCACCAGATATATAAGTGGCGGCCGCCAGATATTGTATTATGTAGCGGCCACCAGAAAAATTATCTGGCGGCCAGCATAAAAATTATATGGGGGCTGCCAAATAATAAGTTGCGACCGCCACATAATTATCTGGTGGCAGCCAGATATATAAGATATGCAATATTAACTAATTTCATGTTTTTTGTCTATACAGTTTTCCAAAATTTAATACAGATCATTTACATTTGCCTGCCCTTGATTGAACATTATGTATGTACAATGTATGAGAGGCAGATCTAAAATATCATAAGAATGACTCTAAAATTAGACTGAATAAATAACCAGAAGTCTCTGTCGAGACTGTAGCTCTACTGGTTTGTACTTATCAAAAACCATTGCACTATTTTATGTATCTTTGTGTAGTCTACTTGTGTGCCATGTTATATTGAAATCAGACCAAAACTGTAGAAATTTCGAAATTTTTAAAGGAATTTCACAGAAAAGTATTTTTTGTAACCATGGCATACACCGTTCACGAAATCAAAAACTGATGCACTATTCTATGTATCTTAGTGTAGTCTACTTGTGTACCAAGTTATACTGAAATCAGACAAAAACTGTAGAAGGAGTAGCGTTTTAAAGGAATTTTACAGGAAATTCTATTTTTAGTAACCATGGCAACACCGTTCATCGAAATCAAAAACCGATGCACTATTCTATGTATCTTAGTGTAGTCTACTTGTGTGCCATGTTATATTGAAATCAGACCAAAACTGTAGAAGGAGTAGCGTTTTAAAGGAATTTCACAGAAAATTCTATTTTTTGTAACCATGGCAACACCGTTCATCGAAATCAAAAACTGATGCACTATTCTATGTATCTTAGTGTAGTCTACTTGTGTACCAAGTTATACTGAAATCAGACAAAAACTGTAGAAGGAGTAGCGTTTTAAAGGAATTTTACAGAAAATTCTATTTTTAGTAACCATGGCAACAAGTTCATCGAAATCAAAAACCGATGCACTATTCTATGTATCTTAGTGTAGTCTACTTGTGTGCCAAGTTATATTGAAATCAGACCAAAACTGTAGAAGGAGTAGCGTTTTAAAGGAATATCTCAGAAAATTCTATTTTTAGTAACCATGGCAACACCGTTCACCGAAATAAAAAAAACGATGCACTATTCTATGTATCTTAGTGTAGTCTACATGTGTGCCAAGTTATATTGTAATCAGACCAAAACTGTAGAAGGAGTAGCGTTTTAAAGGAATTTCACAGAAAATTCTATTTTTAGTAACCATGGCAACACCGTTCATCGAAATCAAAAACTGATGCACTATTCTTTGTATCTTAGTGTAGTCTACTTGTGTGCCATGTTATATTGAAATGCCAAAACTTATATATTTTAAAGGAATTTCACAGAAAATTCTATTTTTAGTAACCATGGCAACACCGTTCATCAAAATCAAAAAAACTATTCTTTGTATCTTAGTGTAGTCTACTTGTGTGCCAAGTTATATTGAAATCAGACCAAAACTGTAGAAGGAGTAGCGTTTTTAAGGAATTTCACAGAAAATTCTATTTTTAGTCACCATGGCAACACTGTTATAATTAAAAACCGATGCACTATTCTATGTATCTTAGTGTATATACTTGTGTGCCAAGTAATACTGAAATCAGATTAAAATTGTAGGAGGAGTAGCGTTTTGAAAAATTGTTTAAGAAGATGGATGTTGACACAGCCACTGGCTTATAGATAAAAATGACATGCATTAAAAAATAAGAGATCTCTATTTTCCATCTTCCAATGTATTCTGTATGGCACAAGTACATTATTTACAAATTTTTTAAATCCTATTAGCCCATCAATGTAAGTAAAGAACATTTTAAATCGATGGCTGACTATTTAACGTGTTCGATCACAGTGTCCTAGTTAGCACAAAACGTGCTACTTATAAGTCGATCACATGAAGGAAATTAGTATTCACAAAGTTACCTGAGGAAAGATATCACATGATGAATTATAATATTTAACGTGCCACAGCCCTTGTTTACAACAGAAAGATCGAGTGTAAGATTAGAAGAAGCAGTTTATTTTCTTTTTTAAACCATTAGCACATGTTTGTCTATTAATCGCCTTTCAAAACAATGTTATTAACCCAAATATACAATTACTGTTGAAATCACACGTTAAAACATGCGCGCACATAAGGAAGCCAGGTGTTATGTCGAGACATATAAATTATGGATACTTAAAACAAAGGAATATAAAAGTAGCAGTTGCGACTTGTTAAAAACTTGCTGCCGCCATCAAAATTATGTGGCGGCCACAGAATTATGTAAGTATAATCTACTTGTGTGCCAAGTTATATAATAATGGGTCCGCCACAAACTGTAGGAGGAGTAGCATTTTGAAACAATTTCACAGAAATTTCTATTTTTAGTAACCATGGCAACACCGTAGATATCAAAATATTATGCACAAAATTATGTTTTTTGTAGTCTACGGTTGTGTGCCAAAATTTAATGAAACAGATCAAAACTGTTACCTGCCCTTGATTGAAGAATTTCACAGGAATTATTTTTAGTAACCAATGTCCATGGCAACACCGTTCATCGAAATCAAAAATGATGAAAGAAATGAATCTACTTGTGTGCCAAATTAGACTGGATAAATAACAATGACATGTATTAAAAAAATAAGAGATCTCTATTTTCCATCTCCAATGTATTCTGTATGGCAGTACAAGTACTTTATTTACAAAGATTTTATAAAACCTCTTAGCCCATCAATGTAAGTAAAGAACATTTTAAATCGATGGCCAACACCGTTCATTGAAATCAAAAACCGAGCACAGAATTATGTATCTTAGTGTAGTCGATCACATGTGTGGAAATTATACTGAAGTTCACAAAGCTACCTGAGGAAAGATATAGCATTTTGGTGAATTTCACAGAAATTTCTATTTTTAGTAACCACAGCAACACCGTTACAATTGAAATCAAAAATCGATGAAGCAGTTTTTTTTTTTTTTCTTAGTGTAGTCTACTTGTGTGCACATGTTTGTCTATTAATCGCCTTTCAATACAACATTATTAATGCAAATATACAATTACTGTTGAAAGGAGAACAATAGACAACATGCGCTGACTTGTCTACGATCAGTAAAAAAATGGGCGTCCTCATTATTGTATGGAAATTGTGGCGACCCCCGCCTTAGAAAACAGATTTGTACTTCGCAAATACATACTTTTATTTATTGTAATTACGTAAAGTTGTAGATTAGATGTTGATCAATTCCAGCAATTTAAAGAAAATGTTTGTTATGAAAGTTTATTTTGTCGCAAATTTCGTGTATCCTTAAGTGCAGTCATCCTATTCGTGGAAACAACTATCCTTTTCATGCTTCAAATCACAGGTACTTGTTTCAAAAATAAATTTTAATTAAAACCCATATTATAATAATTATTAATATACAATGTAATTTTGGTTAAAAATTTATTTCAGAAACAAGTGCCTGTGCTTCAAATAATTAAATAAAAATAAGAAAATAATTTTAATTAAAAAAAAATTATTTTCGTAACACACTAGTAAAACATGAAATATATTACTGTGACTCCTTGTCTTGATTTCTAAAAAATCCTCTGATAAATAGAAGAATGAAAGGTTTATTAAATAATATATATTTGTAAACAAAATGCAGAAACAATATACATATTAATATACACAAAAGTAGATTGCACTTTAAAATCATTAGGATCATTTATTTATTAATCCATGTAAGATCATAACATTTGGAAAGTAGTAAATGTTTTTATCCGAATGAAAATAATAGATATATATTTTAGCACATACCTAATCAATAAATATATAATATATAAATATATATAATTGTTATACATAGTGTAAAATGAAAATAAAAATTTATCAACAATTATAACAATTTGTTCATTTTCAAAATTCATATTATTGAATACTAATAAAATATAAATTACACAACCAATTAAAGAAAAATGATAAATTGTTGTTATATACATGACAGAAAAAAAGGAAAAAAAGTTAAGGAAAAAACTAGCTATCTCAAACATTGAAATAAATACAAAGGACGGATTCATCTTAAGACAGATCCTGCTGTCTAATAATTATTATAAAATAACAAAATTGTTAACAAGTGTAAGTTTCAATTAAACAGATCTACTGTTAAACCTACAACTTTCATGCCATTCCAGCTAATAAAAAACATTAATTACGGTATACATGTATTAGTTCTCAATCAATCAATATTATTAAAGATATTTTTGCTTTCGAATAAATGAACAGAAAAATGACATAAATTTTTGATTAGATGACTTCAATTCTTTTTATTTATTATATATTAACTTAAAATAATAAATTCAAATATGCATATATTTCAGCATTTCTAAAATAGAATGAGCAAATTTATTTATAATTTTCAGGTGCTAGCTATCAAGTACATGTACCAGCATGGTTGTCAATTAATGTATGTATAATAAATAACCATTTGCATTTACCTGGTAATAAACTCATTGATGTACAGAATTAAAAAATCAAATTAACTAACACATTATATATAATAATAGAAATGGCTTGGATTAGAAGATACATAATGTGTACCTATAATTATGGAAGGATGACAGTATCTTTATCACAGTTTTTCATGATCACAGAAGAAGAAACTGAAAATGTCATGCAATTTGACTTGGGAGGCGTCCACCCAGCTTTGTAATGGAATCCCTCATTTCGGCATTCTGTTGTCGCAGACTTTGACTTTCTTCCTGGAGTTCATTGTTCCTGCTGGACAGGAAGACTGCGTCCTGTATGGCGTCCTCCAGCAGATGTCGGTATCGCTGGTCCAACGCCGCTTTCTGTTCCTCAAACATCTCCCGGTATGTCCTAAACGTCTCCAGGTGATGCAGCCTCTGAAACTCAAGCTCGTCTTTATGTACCTGGTAAACCGCATCCAGTTCTTTGATCAGACGTTCCTTCTCTTGCTCCAAGAGCTGTATCTTCATGGTTGTAACTGGTTTTTCTAATTTCATCTCCGCCAGTTGGATTTCTAATTGGGCAACTTCTTGAGCACTGTGGGATTTATTTTCGGTCACTTTCAACTGAATGTGTGATTTTTCTGTTTCTAGTTCGGTCTTCATCTTCTCCACTTCATCTGCTATCATGGCTCTGTTTTCCTTCTCTACCCTCAGCCTTTCTTCCTTCTCCACTTGCTGACGTAGTTCTGTGCTTCCTTTCAACGCTGACATTTGCGAGTTGACTTCGTCTCGTTCTTCTTTCTGTTTCTCAGCTAAATCCCTTAACTGGGATTTGATCTGCTTTAACCCTTCGGATTCCTTCCTCAGTTTTTCTTTGATTTCATGGATGGCTGTGACCCTTTTCTTTGTTTCAGAATCAGTTAATTTTCCACTGTCCTGATACTTTGAGTACTCAGCAATCTTTTTCTGCAGCTCTTCATTCAAACCATCCACCACTCTCCTCTTTTCTGTGTATTGTGAAGTCACTTGATCTTTTTCCTTCTGGAGAAGCAGCATCTTTTCCTGAATTTCTTTGTTTCCTTTTTTCATGTTATCCATAACCCAGTCCAGAATTCCCTTGTTGGCTAAATTAACTTTTCTCTCCTCTTCAAATTTCTTGGACAGTTTCTCTCTCTCAGCCCAAGTTGACATCTTAGCAATCTGTAAATCTTGCACTAGATCTTCAAGCTTGTGTACATCATCCCTACTAGGTGCGGAAGTTGCAGCAATTTTATCTCTTAACTTTGCAATTTCTTCCCGCAGATCCGCAATGATTTCTGCCGTTTCGTCCAAATTGGCTTTGACGTGGTTTTTAGCCGACTTTGCATAGGAAGCATACTGAAGCGTGGTCAGTGACTCTTTGTGAGCTTTGTCAACCGGTGAGACAACAGCAAACATCAGGGTGACCGTATTACCACCAAACGAGTCCTGGAGTACTCGAGTAATTGTGGAATCTCTGTACGGTATATTGCTGCCTTTCTTGGGACCTCCCAGAGCACTGAGGACATTCATAAGGCCCTGAAGACCAGCCACAATGTGAGTATCTGAGGTTCCTCCTGCCTCTCCCATGGCTAAATCCGCCAGACAAATAACGGATCTAACGCCAACTTTACTGGACTGTCTAGTTCTCTGTTCGACAGTGATGGTGAAAACTGAGTGAGCCCTGGCTTGGTTGGCTCTGATGTCATTGGCCCCCATTTTTCTAACTCTGGTCCCCTGCTCGTAAAGCTGGCTCATTTCCTCCCAGTTGTGAACCACCATCTCTGACAGACCTTCAATGAAGATGCCTTTATGAGGGTGATGGCGGATCTTCATTTGATTTACATGAGGGTTCAACAAATCACTCATCTTTTCATCCAGAACTTCCAAGTATGAAACCGTGATGAAGAACTCCTTGTTGCTCCTCTCTCCAATGGCTTGGTAAAGATTTCTGATGAAGCAGGGCGCAATTCCTGGATCACCCTCAGTACCTGACATCAGATAAGTCTTTCCAGCATTGGTTGACCCAAGAGCAATGATGCTCACATTGAATCCTTCCAATGCTCTCTGTAGAATTGGTTCACACCGCTCTTTGTAGATTTGTTCATTTCTAACATCATTGGCGTATGCTCCATCAAAAGAAAAAGAATGCTCCTTTCCGCCCGATTCAATCAGTAATTTGTCACCAGAAGATTTGACTACACTTTTCACCCCTTTGGTTGCCTCCTCCTGTGTCAGCGGCCGACATCGTCCACACACTTTAATTGGTACACTTTCTGGCATGATGGCAGCTTATGAACCGCACCTTGAAAAATAAAGAGAGGAGAATAATGAACAATGACTACTTTAGCAAAATGAATTTTATATAATGAAATTCATCGGGGTACTGCCGTACTGGGGAATAACACATTTTTATGAATGATTTCCCCACTGGTAGAGTATAAGCTAAGCTTCATTTTTAAATCAAATATTAACTTTAAACAAGAGGCCCATGGGCCACATCGCTCACCTGAGCACTGTGGCTAGTAAAAGTATAAATTGGTTTATTATTGAAAAGTAAAATCCAAGAGTAGTCCCATGAACAACCATGGATTTTCTATCTTTGAGAAGATGATTTTTAAAGAATTTTCCTATATATTTATATGTAAAACTTTGGTCGGCCATTTTGACCCCGCCCTACCCCCGGGGGTCATGATTTGAACAAACTTGAATCTACACTACCTGAGGATGATTCCATATAAATATGATGAATTATGGCTTGGTCATTCTTGAGAAGAAGATTTTTAAAGAATTTTCCTATATATTTCTATGTAAAACTTTGGTCGGCCATTTTGGCCCCGCCCTACCCCCGGGAGTCATGATTTGAAGAAACTTGAATCTACACTACCTGAGGATGCTTCCATATAAATATGATGAATTATGGCTTGGTCATTCTTGAGAAGAAGATTTTTAAAGAATTTTCCTATAAATTTCTATGTAAAACTTTGGTCGGCCATTTTGGCCCCGCCCTACCCCCGGGGGTCATGATTTGAACAAACTTGAATCTACATTACCTGAGGATGCTTCCATATAAATATGATGAATTATGACTTGGTCATTCTTGAGAAGAAGATTTTTAAAGAATTTTCCTATATATTTCTATGTAAAACTTTGGTCGGCCATTTTGGCCCCGCCCTACCCCCGGGGGTCATGATTTGAACAAACTTGAACCTACACTACCTGAGGATGCTTCCATATAAATATGATGAATTATGGCTTGGTCATTCTTGAGAAGAAGATTTTTAAAGAATTTTCCTATAAATTTCTATGTAAAACTTTGGTCGGCCATTTTGGCCCCGCCCTACCCCCGGGGGTCATGATTTGAAGAAACTTGAATCTACACTACCTGAGGATGCTTCCATATAAATATGATGAATTATGGCTTGGTCATTCTTGAGAAGAAGATTTTTAAAGAATTTTCCTATATATTTCTATGTAAAACTTTGGTCGGCCATTTTGGCCCCGCCCTACCCCCGGGGGTCATGATTTGAACAAACTTGAATCTACACTACCTGGGGATGCTTCCATATAAATATGATGAATTATGGCTTGGTCATTCTTGAGAAGAAGATTTTTAAAGAATTTTCCTATATATTTCTATGTAAAACTTTGGTCGGCCATTTTGGCCCCGCCCTACCCCCGGGGGTCATGATTTGAACAAACTTGAATCTAGACTACCTGAGGATGATTCCCCATAAGTTTCATCATTCCTGGCACAGTGGTTCTTGAGAAGAAGTCGAAAATGTGAAAAGTTTACAGACAGACGGACAGACGGACGCCGGACAAAATGTGATCAGAAAAGCTCACTTGAGCCTTCGGCTCAGGTGAGCTAAAAAGATATAATAAATATTTATCTGGAAATATTTTCTTAATTGTATAGAGGGTGTTAAATATTACTTAGTTTGTAATATAACACGTGTCGATAGGTATTCTCGCATGAGTTTATTTGAGGAATGTTTTCAAGTTTTGTGTGAGTTACAGGTTTGTAAATCACACATACTTGTCACATAGGCATACATTGTGGCATCTGTGGACTATGGTAGGAATGTAATAGAGATTGTACATTTTAAAAACAATATTTAGGCCTATAAACACTCATAAAAGATTTCGAAATATTGGATTCCTGAAAAATGGTGCATTTTCACTTTCTTTTATTATGCATTCATAAATTAAATCTTTGTTTTTGGAAAGCATCATTTAGAACAGATGTTGCTGAACTACTTGATAATTTTACAAATAGATCATTCGATATTTACCTATTCTACATTCCTTGAATTACTGGCTTTTCGCGTTATCTCTCCAAGGTGTTTGTAAATACACAAATATTGATGACGTCATAAGGTGATTCGTAGGTCTCGTACCACAGTAATTTCGGTCCGAATGTGAATTTCCATCATTACAAAAAAAAAAAAAAAAAAAAAAATACAAATTTGTTCAAATGTGTCTAGAATATTAAATAGAAATCAATAATATTTTTAAAATTGTACAGTTTTGTAATAAAATACTTTTATACGAAAATATGTTGCAAAATTCGCAACAAAAGGTCACCCCCTGATATCTACCTTTTTGATCTCCATGAAGTGGCCGTTTTACATTGTCCTTAACATCCTTTCAAAGGTTCACCCTTTCAAAAACAGCAAAATTGATGCCCCACGACCTGTCCAGTTAATTCATTTATGTAAATTCAAATTAACTTTTCATTAAGGAGACACTTGTTCAGAGGATAATAATTTTATCAAAACAAACCAAAAGAGCAAATAGAAATATGCAAATAAGAACTTTTCATTGTTGCTTTAACATGTGCATCAGAGGTAAAATTCCTTGACATCGGCCTTGACCTCTATATAATCTCAGGCAAGCTGATTATCAGTAAGGTGCAAGAACATGTCGTGAAAATTTTTTAAATTTGATAAGAATGTTGTGAAATGAACATAATTATGAACATTACAAAGGAATAATTTAATAAAGCTCTAATCATCAACTAAAAATAAATTAAAAAGGAAATTTGAAATAACTCAATAATAAGAATTAAAAAAATATAAAGAAAGAAAGAAAAATAAATAAATAAATAAATCAATTAATTAATTTAAATACATAATAAAAATGACAAATAAAGCGTATACATATACAATATGTTGGATATAAAACCAATTATAGGACTGAACCGTTGTAGGACCGAATCGTCAGGACACCTCAACTCTACCCAATACTCAAATATCGTATTTCTTAATTTTTACTTTAAAAAAAACTTAATTAAACCTGTTAAAGTCATGTTTGAATTTAGTGTTATATTATTTTCAATAACCTTTTGTTCATTTAAATGTGATGAAAACTATTTTAATGATACTTATATTTGGGTAACGGGTTGGATCTAGCAGACGAGTTGCAAGGTGCGCGAAAAATGGCGACACCAAAACAGAAAGAAAAGTTGACCAAAGAGAAATCTAAAAAGACGGTGTCTCCAGGTAATAGAATATATAGAGTCTTTGATAGTTATTTTGATAAAATCCAGAAGATGGAAGGGTATCTCTGTTTCATTTTGACGAGTAAACAAAAGAGTTGGTGTTGTCGGCTGCTATTGTAACAAGGGAACACAAAACTCAAGAATAGACAGTTCTTGTAGCATAACGAATCGTTAACAACGCTCGTCATGTCTGAAAACCATTACTGCATTTATTATTCTCTTCATTTGATGGAATTATTGTTTCTATTGATATGAAAATTTAACAATTTTTAAACAGAAACTTTTTACTCGGCATGGCAGACGCTTTCAAAATGGCGGCAAGAAATCAATTTATGTTGACTATAAATAGACACAAAAATTAATGCTAGAAATATTGAAATGAAAAAAAGAAATAATTTTCATATAGCAAAGAAAATGAAAATAACACTATTCACACATAAAAAGAATCTATAAAATTGTTACAAGACACTGACATTTGCAAAGTTATTTACACATTAAATTTGAAGAAAAAAGTTTGGGAAAAAAAGTTAAATGTAATTTTATTTTTGAATGGTTTTATTTTCTATTATCTGAGAAATATATTATAAAATGAAGTAAGTAATTTTTAAAGACTATATTTTGTGATTTAAATTTACATATTTTCTTGAGACAAGTGATGTTTCAAATGTTTCATTCTTAAAAAATTCTTTTTCTTGGATTTATTATTGCCGAGCAGTATTTGAATGTAAGAACTACTTTAAAAATTATTTTCAAATGCTACCTACTTTTCCTGAACCTCCATTTTTGGCTCAAAATTAAGTCAGTTTCAATGAAACTTATTACATTTTAGTACAATATGATAATAGACATGATTTTGTAGAATGATTATGTAAGTGTTTTTAAAATGGACATTTCTATTGATTTTTTCAATAAAAAAATTGATTTTCCAATAGTATATACTCTTACCATTGGCTAAAAATTTAAATGTTTCAAAATGTGTGAGAAAACATTCTTTTTTATTTGGTAGGTTCTGATAGAACACTCAGACAGAGAAAGATCAAAGTGGAAACTGAAGATGAGGACAGTTCGTACATGTCATTAGATGTCCTGGCACAGGTGGCATCTGCTACACTGGAGAAAGAACCTGCAGGAAGCAAGCATAAATCTCCTGCTGCGAAAAGGGTAATATTTACCGATTTGATGAAGGACATTGCAACAGCACTGCAAAACACTTCTGCATGTTTATCTTTTGATGGAAAAAAACTTAAACGTAAAGGGGTCCTTACTGGGAAGCCAGTATATTGATAGATAGATTAGTACATTGATTGATTATAATTGTTTAATTTTCATTAAATGTTTTAAAAAATGGAGAAAAAAATGTTTTGTTAAAATCTTGATATAAATGACAATGAAATTCGTTTGATATATATGCCTTTGAACTTGTGATTTATTTCAATTATATCCAGCTTTGAGGCATACTTGATTAATTTAAGATTGTAATTATTGCAAAACTTGTATTGTCAACATCTAAAGCATAAATATCTATTAAAATGAAACAAATATATTTCAGATTACAAAGCGAAATGTGCAGAATTTGGAGTTGTTCAATTTGGAGCAGATCCAGCTTCTTTCAGAGAGGTGTCTTGTGAACTTCTTCTCCAAGTTAACATCTAATGAAATCACCAGAAATTTTATATTCACCTGTGCTCTCATGCCAGAGAAGTGCGAGGTCCAGTACAAGAGTTTTGGTAATGAAACTCAAGCCAGGCTGAGAATGAAGAAGCATCTAAATGCTCACATTCAGGATCTGCTTAAAGAACAGAAAGGTACATGTACCATTATCAATAGCTTTGCATACTTCTGAATCTGGCCTTTCCAATAATTGATTTGTCTTACTTATAATTTGATGACGTAGTCATGTAGTTGTAAGTTGTAAATTTCTTTATTGGAAACATCTGTACTTTTAGATCCTAAGAACAAAGCCATGGAACAGTTTGTTGCTGAGCCAGTACATGTCAAAGAAAAAAGGCAAAAAGGTATTTTTTTATTGCAATCATATCAGTGTTTGAAACTAGCTGTAAAGTATGTTAGACATGCAAGCTGAGTGCAAGTAAAAGTTGTCAACCCTGCCAAAAAATCAAGTGGCCCGAGAAAATAAATGTTCGTTTTAGCAATAATGTGAATGGGGACAGATCACATTATCTTTAATCCCAACCTAGAAACTGATGAATTTGACCTGTTTGCTTGTTCCACTTTGCTACTAATATTATTTGATGATTTGAAAGAAATATATCAATTATAAAAAATTTTTGTTTATGGAAAATTTGTTCGCCTGCAACAAAAATTGTGTGTATAGGGTGCCCAGTCATTTCAAACACTGATCCTATTTAGTTTTGAATGTCCTTTTAATTGCAACACTTGTGGAATTTCAAAAATGTTAAATATTTGACAATATATTATTTGGAACAAAGCATACACAGAAACATGTTTTTACTCACATAGAAATCTCGGGACCCAAAAAGAAACCCACAGGAAGCAAGAACTATGTGTACAACAGAACCAGTAGACCCAAAAGAAAGAGGTACACGGAACTCGATGTTCAGGTCCCAGCCGACCAGACTGAATTAGTGGACGAGGCCGATGTACAACTGGAGAGAGTGGACGGAAACGACAAGGAAAGCTTAATACAACAGCACTTCTCAGAGAGGAGCTTCATGCTGCGAAAATATGCACACAAACAATCCACTCGGTTACAGCAGAAACTGATGAATAAGAAAGGAGAAACCACCAAAGCAGTCGCAGCGGAAGGCGCGGAAGAAAGCGATCTCGGGGACGACACAGAGAAAAGGATCGAAGAGAATGAGCAATTCATTATCGAGTTACTGAGCAGGACTCAGCCTCATCATGATCACGGCTACACGACCATATTTGGTAAGAAGAAAGGAATAGAGGACATTGTATTCGAGACTGAGGAGGAAGAGATAAATGACGGTACTGACTACGGTCAATTTTACGGGAAAACCGGTATAATCACCCCGAACAGGAAGGCGGAGCCTATCCTGTGTCTAGGCAACGTGTCTGTCATGGATGAATTGTCCAGCAGTGGGACAAGTACAGATGAAGCGTCAAAGACGATAATCGTGTGTGCAGAAGAGATTATTGACGAGAATCCTGAAGAAGAGATCAACCTAGTAGAAGGAACAGAAAAAGTGGGAGACACTGGAAAACGTAAGATCTTATGTTCTATGATTTCTTTCCTGTTCTGTGTTAATGATTAATCTGGATATATATAGTTTCAGTCAGAAAAAGTTAACTCGCTCAAATACTAAAATATCACTGCCATCTTGGGATACAAGTTTGACCATATTTATTGATTAGTGTGATTTGATATAAATCAGTTGTAAAGAGAACCCTCTCTTAGAAAATGAAAGAATCTGAGGTATGTATTTTTTTTTTAGATTGTTTTCATTTTCCAGTTGGTGATTTTACCTGAAAACACAATTTGTTTTCAGTTTGTTACTGTTATTTTTTTTTCCCTCAATATTTTAGAAATACTTCTAATACATTCCATTTCATTGAAAATCAGAAAATGTTACATAGTTAGATATTGGTTCTTGTTTCTGAAAATGCATTTTGCTTCTTTTTTTTTAAAGCTTACTTAAGCCAGAGGCTTGGTAGAGCTTTTCTGATCAAAGTTTATCCATCTTATGTCTGTTGTTATTTATAGATTTTACATTTTCAACTTCTTCAAAGGACCAATTTCCTGAAGTAAGGAGGTTCAAGTTTGTTCAAAAGAAGAGCTGGTTATTAGAGTAAAAGTAGAGATTAAAAAATGTTAATTGATAGCAAGCATCTACATGTTATTCAAAGTTATTCAAGTCATGATATCTTGGACAATCATGCATTTGCAGTTTTAACATTTTTTAGGGGACTTTCA